TGTAATAAGTGGTTTTCCACCCTCCTGCCCATTTATGAATTCTGGTATGCGTATTTTTATTTATTGGGCCGTGTATTAAAAATGCTACCATTTTGTAAGCAAGTAATCACATTCATGCTCCCAAATGGTATTCCATTATCTGACTTTACACTCCCACACCTAAACTTCCTGATATGGAAATCAGCGTATTCCTGATGTTTTAATGCCTTCTGTTTGGGCAAGTAACTGCAGATATTAAATTGCTTAGAAGCCTCCTTGGTTTTTGCGGATGCTCATATTCTTTTGAGTTATGTCATGGCTGGGAAATGAAGACAATGGAAATGGATTACGCATACATTTATGACTGCCCCAAAGTTGATATTATAAAATTGGACATAACATTCTCTATCAGTTATTCAACCATCTTAAAAATTTGCTGCATCAAGTCCTACAGTATTTGGAGAACTATGTGAAATGTATCTTTATATATTCATTTATATTTAGATTCTGCTTTCTCTGTTGTAATTTATTTACGTTTACTTAACTGTTTAACATAGCAACTAGCTTTGATTAGCATTTTAGTTCCATCTTTTGGCATCCAGCCCACCTTGAATTCCGTTGATGCTTATCTACTGGCTGCCAACTTGTTTTGATGGTTAGTAGTTCAGATTCTTACAGAGAGCTTTAGCATACAATAAATCTATATATATTCACTTGAACTGCCTGAACTCTTGATTCCGTGCTTGACAGCACACCTACAGTAGTTCCCTTAAGCATTCATTGCACGGTTTAGCTTCCAGACTTTTTAACATCTTTATTGCTCTGCTCTCTTTTAACCTTTCTCTCATCCATTCACCCCTATGAAATCACTGGTAGCTCAGAAGCAGATTTCTCTATTTCCTACCGATTCTGAGCTCTGAGTTTACTTGTATCCAGGGGAATTTCTGCCCATTGGTTGGAAATATTTCCTGGAAACCTATTCAGCTGACTTCTCTGGGCCTCTTTTGTTTGTAGACAAAGACTGCCATCTGGTGCTGAATCCACGGGGCTGTTGAAAATGCGTTTTAAGCCAAAGGGGCACTTTTTCCTATGTTGGCAAATTTTGAAAACTTATTTGTATCCACTTCCAGGACTTGACTGAGGCCCAAAGCAGGAATTAAAATCTGAGCAATTGTGCAGAGATTATGGATCCTGGACAAGAAGCTCATTCAGGCACCTGACAGGCAAAGGGCAGCTGTCTTCCCACTTGTCTCTTCCACAATGTGGGATTCCTCACCCCGTCTCTTATTCTACCTTTACTACCGCCACCATCCTTTTTACAGCCTTCAGATGCCAAAGCAGAGAATGTGCAACAGGTGCCAGGATGCCTGTTGAGTAATGGGCGCTGCTCCTGCCAGGGCTGAGCCCATCCTTGCCATGACCTCTGATGGTGGGGTGGTCGCAGATGCTGGCTCTTCTCCCAGAAGGGCAGGTGCACGATGACCCACCAAATAAAGCCTATTGTGGAGTCTCTGGTGTGAGTTGAGGACTATCTGTATAGTCCTTTGCATCTAAGAGTCCTCCCAGAAATAATGATAGGAGAGCTGTGTGAGTTTTCCTCCCCTTTTCTCCACTGATTTCATCAGTTTAGGTAATCTACAGATCTATTAAATTGTATTGCAAGAAATCCCTGCCTTTTAAGAAAATGTGTTAAGCTGAAGTTTGCCCACTAATAGTGAGATCCTTTTTGTGACAATTAGAAATAGTTTTGAGCAGAGCTTAACTAAATACTCCCAAGGCTGATATAATTTTTGGAAGTTCTAGCCTAGCACTCATCTTTTGAATAAAAATTGGAATTTCCATCAGTGATGTGAATCTTTTTGCCCTCAAAATTGTTTTAAAATTTGTGGATATTTCGCAGTCTGGCACTTATTAAATTACTCGTGAGCATTTAAATGCTGTACAGCATTTAAAAAATAACTTCATTCCTTGCACTTAGCATATGACAGGAGAAACCCATGAGGCTAAATTATACCTTTAGCAATCATTATCCATGTCATATATAGTAAACCATGTTTTAACCATGGTATGTTAGAGGTGCCATAATGGCTGCAGATTGCTACACCAAAATACATTTAATTGCAAATGTCCCAGTCCTTCATCCATACACAATTTAGCTCTTATTTATAGGTTTTTCTTTATTTTAGGAAAACACTTCGTTCACCATAAACTAGTCTTGTCTGATGTTCCAAATCTATATCTTTTCAGATGGTATCTATTTCATTAATTCACTCACACTTTTCTTTAATGAAGGTCTAAAAGTAGCTTACAAACCTGTTCAAAATAACAAATACAGTATTACATTGGCATTGTTAAACATTTGCATTGGTATGATGTGCCCCCTCATGGCCAGTGAATTTTATTTCATCTGAATGGAAATTATGGAACAAATCTGTAGATATACAGGGAATAAAATTGACAACCACCGAATACACTACTAGATGGTATTATGAAAACTGAATTCAGCCAAGAAAAATATAAAGTTTTGCATTTAGACTCAATGAATAAACTTAAAAAGGACTGTTTAGGATGAAGGACTCCTTGGCCTGTTAAAAATATAAAAGGCAACAAAACTGTGGTTGACCAAAAGCTGAACACAAGACTTCAGTGTTAAGATGCTTTCAAAAAATGTAGATGTGGCTGTATTACTGGAACTATAGTTCATAAGAAATAATCATTTTACTGAAGTGCTATCTGATTTGGAGTGCTGCATTTGTAGATATAAACAAATTGGAAATGATTTTAAAGGTAGCACCAATATATTTGGGGTATTTCTGTTTTCTTTTTTTTTGTACACTTTTTTCTTTCTTGTTAGTGTTGGATGGTTTTAGTCTGTTTTCTTTCTTTTGTATTTTATTGTTGGTGATAACGAATAAATAAATGTTAAAAAAAGGTTAATACAAAAAGAACGGAAGTCAAAGGACTTTATATACCAACAAGAAAGATGCAGTTTTATTTTTTGCTGCAACAAGGACTAAATCTACAGTAAAGGGCTTAAAACATTAATGACACATTTTTACCTTACAATTAATGTTAAATATAGTTTGATTATATATATACAACTTCTTACAGTCAAAATAACTTCTTTCTGAAGATTTTTTTGTGTGGTCTGACAGCTTTAAATGGCTTAAGTTGACTGTCTTGACTGTATAAGATTCACAAATCACACCAAGTCATGGTTAAATTTAACCAGGCTTTGATGAATATACTGCATTGACTGAATTCTAAGCCAAACTTTGTGGCTTAGCATTGTGAACGCAACACTGTGGTTTATTCAATAAATCATAGTTAATAAAACAATGGCTTAGTGTCGTGAGTCATAACACTGTAACTTCCAGATATGTGGATACTTCTTCAAAATAGGCACATCAAATTAGACATGTAGGATTCACAATGTTGCGAATCTTTGCATGCTGAATTAAAGTAGGAAGACCAGAATGGCTGGGTTCCTATCACATACTAACCTAATAACATTGTTTAAGAACATTTCATTCAACCCATATGCCAAGTTAAATAAAATGCATAGTATGTAAAGTCAGATGTTTTAATTTTCAATTACTGTGTACAGCTTAAAGTCAATAACTGCCTCCTTCTCCCTTAAATGGGCTAAATTTTGTGGGATTCTGACACTTTCTGTAGCAAATCTTTGGTATTTTGGAGCAAGCATTAAAACGGAGCTTGATCAGTAGCACTGCCATACTTTATAGCCTAGTGCATAAGACTTTTTCTGTCCAAAGCTCTATTTGGCTCCAGTCCTTCAAAGCTGACTTCTTGCAGGACAGAAACCACTCATTGCATTGGTGAAATAAAACTAATATATTCAGTATTTAACCATTTCCCCCATTGTATTGCCCCGGGGACACGTGAGCCCCTTTTGTAACCTGACAAGCAGTCAATGGGGAAGCCACATTCACTTAACAACTGCATTATTAACTTAACAAGTGTAGTGATTCACTGAACAGTGCAGGAATGTCATAAAAGTAGCAAAACTTAACAAATATCTCACTTAGCAACAAAAACCTTGGGCTCAATTGTGGTCGTAAATCGAGGACCACCTGTAGAACGAGGTGATTAAAAACGAACATCTCAGAACGTAGAATCGCAATTTGCGGCTGGAAGGGACCTTTGGAGGTCTTCTAGTCCAACCCCCTCAAACCAGAGACCCAAGGAAGAAAGAGCGAGGCTACGCAACCTAGGATTTGCCCGGCCCTTCCGAGGCATCGGCTTCGGGGAGGCGCTGGGGATGATGGGAGTTGAAGTTCAAGCCCACGGGAGGGCATTATCGGGGACCCCCGCGACCCCTTCAATTCTTAGGCGTCTCCCCTCCGAAGACCCCCTTCTCCTCCCCGGTGGGCTCGACGGGGCTTCCTTACGTGAAAAGGCGGCGAGGGGGAGGGATCCCGCGGAGCCTCCTCCCTCTCAACGTCAGATGTTTTTGCCTCAGGTTGATGGAGCCCGTTTTTGGCGGGGAAAAAGAAATGGAAGCTCCACCTCCCGAAGAGATTCGTGTCAGCGACAGGACTGTTGTCCTCACGCGGGCCTCAGCTCACGGGGCACCCCGGCTGGAGCCTCCCCCGAGCGGCCTGTCCTGCGTGCGAGGAACACAACCGTCAACAGGCCCCGGGATCCATTTGTCACCCTCTCCGCGCAAACAAACGGGAGAGTTAGAGAAAGTCACAATATGGGCGGGAAACTCGGCTTGCTACCGATTGGTTCTTGGCGCTGCTCCTCCATTGGTGCCGCCCGCCAAACGGCGGCTTCTAATGTTTAACTGGAGCTCAAGCTTGTCACTCCAAGTTTTCCTTCGGCGCGGAGCAACCTCTGGTTCCGCCTCTCCCTTTTCGCTCTCGCTCTGACGTGCCGTGTGCAAAGGGAGAGGGGGGGAGGTTGGTGTTGGTGGAAAAAAAACAGCCGTTAAACGGGCCGCGGGGCGGGGCCTCGGCGAGGAAGTAAGAAGCATTAATTGGATTGGTCAAGGCGGGAGGTTCAAACTAGCATGGGCAGTCCTGATTGGCTCGGGGTGGCCGCGGCAGGCCAGGCTCCCTCCTCGCGCCCAGGCGGGTTATTGTCTCTCGACTTTCGCAGGCGGCTCTCGCGCGGAATCGGGACTGGACTTCGCACAGGAGCGACGCAAACATGGTAAGGAGGGCGGGAAACCGCGCGCCTAGCGGGCCCGAGCGAAGCGTGTGAGGGAAAGCCCCGCTCCCGTTCGGCGGGAAGCCCGCGCGGGGCTCCCAGCTCTTCCTCACGCCGGCCGGCCGGGCGGGAGGACTCCTGGGGGGCCTACGAGCTGCCGCGGGAGTCATTCCGGCACCCAGTAGGCGGCGGGCCAAGCCATCCTCTCTCGCGGGCTGCCCCGGGCGCGCCACTGACTGGGGCGGCGGAGGGTGAAGAGGCGCCGCTGGCGGTTCCCTCTTCCGTTTGGCGAGCGGCCCGGGAAGCCCCGCCTCTCGGTCACCGCGGGGGGCAGGGGGGGGCTGCCTGCCTGCCTGGCTTTGCTTGGCGCGGGGCCAGCGCGCCGGGAGCGCCTCATCCCGGCCGGAGCCCGGAGCGCAGAGAGGGACTCCGCGGCTCCCCTCGGACTGCCGAACCTCTCCCCCCCCCGCTCCCCAGCCTGGGTGTCCGTCAGCGCCCCGCCGAAAGAGCCGAGCGACGCCGCGGCCGGCGCTTCTGGCTTTCCCGCGCGCGGCGCCTCCTCAGCGACGCGGCGCTTGTCGGGACGCCGGACTTCGTCGGGTAGCTTTCCCCGCGCGCGCGGGGCTGAGCCGGGCTGACGGCCCTGGCAGCTCCGGCGGTGACAGCCTGGCACGCTGCAGCCCCTATCTGCCGCGGCGGGAAGTGGCGCGCCGCCCGGCGGTTCCTCCTTCCCTCTCTCTGCCCCCCTCGGCCTTCGCTCGACGGGGCAGCCGTGGGTTTATTCCCATCCAGCCCCGGGTAATTAATTCCTCCGCTTGGGCTGAGTGGGGGGGCCGAGGGCGACGTCGGGCTTGCTGGGAAAGTTTGTGGGCGGCGGCGGGGGAGTCCAGCTTTCTCTTCCCAAGAAGTTCCCAGGGTCAGGAAAAGCCGCAGCTGCTGCAGTTTTACTTTCCAGGTGGAGGTCTCTGAATACGATTTCTATAAAGTACTTTTTGCCGTTGTTTAAGGAGAGGTTGCTTTTGGCTGGAAGGCTCAAGATCGCCTCTCTTTTTCGGTTAGTAACTTGCAGCAAGGGAACATCTGGGATCCGCGTAGATCGGGGAGGGGGGGTGTCCAACTTTGGCGACTTTCAAGACTTGTGGACTTCAACTCCCAGAATTCTCCAGCCAGCACAGCTTGGGAGTTGAAGTCCGCAAGTCTTAACACTTTTGAGTCTCATCAACCAACCACGGACTTTTTCAATTTTATCCATGCAGTTACTCTTATATATTTTGCTTTGCGATTTGATCCTGTTGGACGTTGCCACCTTAATATGTTTGTTTATTATACTGGTAGCTCATCGTTCTAATTCATTCACCACCCACCACCGGTACATTTTCTAATCTCTTCTCTTTTTAATTCACACCCTGCTTTAGGCTCCATTTTTGATCAGCCTTCCTACAGACTCAGTTCTCATTTCTAGATAGTAAATAGGAGCACACCCTTATAAAGTTGTTTTTGGGTTTTGACAAATATTCATTACAACGAGCCATATATTACATTTCTGCCAATTTGTGCACATCTTAAACTTTCTCCATTCAGTTTTATCTTTGATATATAATTTTGAGATAACATCAGTTGTTACATCACATAGTTTTTCTGTCAATTATTGAGAATACTTTAGATTCTCGGCTAATAACATGCCATCTGCAGAGAAAAGTGCATGCATGTTTGTGTATGCAGTAAAAACATCTCTGCTAGTACAGTACCATAAGTGTTTATGTATATGTTAACCACAGAAATATCACGTTTTCATCTTATACTTAATCTTTTATTAAGCATTCCATCAATTTACACATATGCTTTACTTCTGTAACGTATTGTTCTCAACCATTTTTTTTTTACAGTAACAGTTACTGCTTTTGGTTCAGTTTCATACTTTGACATAACAATAACATTCCCATAAAATACACCATTCCTTTCAGTTCTCTCATTGCCACTTTAAATATATATACTTTAAGTTTTTTATTACTATTACTGTGCATTTTAGCCTCCAATATGAGAAAATAATTCCTTTTTCTATTATTTGCAGCAATGTCTTGTCATTATGGTATATGCTTTACATAATATCCCATCTTCATTTTTTGCAACACATTCTCTTTTTGCATTTTTTCTTGTCTATAGCCTGACAGACTTCATAATTCCACCAAGCATTTTTCATATTTCTCATTACTATAACTTCACATGCTTATGTGGCGATTTATAATATCATTTATACTCTGTTACAAGCTGCATCCATATCCTCTTTCCTTAAATTCATTTTTATACATTTAGTTGGGAAATTAATCTGTATTCTTACATACAGGACCCATACTTTTTTCATGTGGTCATTCTACTTTCTTCCAGGTCTTTTTCTTTGGTATCCATTTTTCCCAAAATCCATTCTTAACACAATGTCTCATATTCAGAAGTTCTTGTCAACATTGTAGCTTTCGTTTTTTTTAGCCTTTCATTATGAATAATCAAAAATATTCTAGGTTTATATTCATTCCTTCTGTGTGTACTTATGAATATAGTTCTTAAACCCTGTATCTTTCTTAAATCAGATACCAAAGCAGTAATTACTTTTATTCATTCTTGGATTTCCAGATGGTCCAATATCTACTGTCTTGACTTGTTCCCCACTATCCATTTATGTCATCAAAATCATGGTTTTTTTCCCCTATGAGTACATTTCTTCAAAATGTTGTGTGCTTTTTCCAAAATTCATCTTTGGTTCTTTCATTATCACCATTCACTAGAACGCTGCATTCAACTATGTTTTTCCCCAATAAAAAATCCTGTTTTATATGCATCCGTAATTTAGATGCCGCTTCCTCATACTTAACTGATATATTTTAGCACTTTCATCCATAATAAAAACTGTGTTTTTATTTCCCATTTTTTCATTCAATTCCACTCAACAACATTAGACTACCCTCATTCACATTGATTACATCCCTCTCCTTTCTCTTAGTTTCACAGGTACACAACATATCTATTTTCTTTCATTCTTTTCATTTGCTTATCATTTAATCCATTTGCTTTCCAAGTCTCAGTTTTCCATATGTTATGCAAGTTACTATATATAGGCCCCTAGGTCAGTATCTATGGTCCTATCACGTATGGAAAATTGAGACTTGCTGTTGGTTAATCAAGGTTTTTACTTTATGCTTTTAGGAATTTAAAGAATCAAACTTAAGTTACCACCAACCTAAGTTATATCAACACTGCATGGAGCGTTCTCTGTTAATGATAAGAATAGTACTGTTCACTCGTTGGGTATTTTAGCCAATATGATGCATGAAATAAATGCCTGTTTTATGCCAAAAACATACATTATTTTTTTTGGGGGGGGGGGAAGCTAAGACCTTGAATCTAGAGCCTATCTTACAAAAACAATATATGGTTGCCTGCATTCCATGGAGTATGCAGTGTATTGACATGCACTTGGGATATAGCTAATTTATCCAATAATATTAGAATATGATGTATCTAATTGTAGAATGCCCATTAGAAAGCTGTTTTCATTGTATTTGTACAACAAACTTTCAGTCATAAGTATCACTATGAGATAATATTGAAATAGGATTTTTTTATACAGTCCCCTTAATTTGTTACATATACAGTATTGTTCGAAAACAAATATATTTAAATCTTGTTTTACAAGTCAGTTTTAAGTCTTGTCATCTATCTTGTGTCTATGCTTAAAATTACTGAAATTAGAGTAGGTTCAATAATGGTGTTACAAAAATAAACTTGGCAATTGTCTGTTTATATTTAGAATTAGATTGCATATTAGAGTAGTGGGGTTTAGCAGTGTATTTAGGGAGTCTGGTTTGGGATTGTATCTTAGAGTATAGAATGCAGCAAGAATCAATTTCAGAATTTCAATGTTAGAGCACTATTGCAGATTAATAAACAAATTATAACAATTTCTATACTGATGATAATAGCTGACAGCAATTAAGGATGTTGTAGCCCAAAACCTAACTTGGGACATATTTTTATCTGCATTTGAATATCTTTTACCATTAAAGCTTAGCTTGAAGAATGAATGCAGGGAAGGCTGCTGATTAGGGAAAACTAAAGTTGTCCACCTGTTTTATTTTTGAACAGGGGTTTTGACATACATGTCTAGTCTAGGGCTTAAAGAACTGATGTTTTGATAATTCACTGTCACTTTTATTTACTAATGAACCTTTCCCCCATATAATGAAAAATTGTAGAACCAGAAAAAGGGTTTCTTGTAGCATTTTGAAAATGTGGCTAATATTTGCGCATGTAACAGCTGGGAAGTGTAAAGGGGCAAGATATGAAAAAATTAGGTGATGCGTGAATAACTAAAGAGAAAATTGCAAGGTTCCAAATGTACAAAGTAGGAAATGAGCTCCCCCCCAGCAAACTGAGTTTTTGTCTTCAGTTAAATTAGAATGGGATTACAAATACTTTCTAATAAGCAGGATATTCTTATATACTGGCCTTTGGTAATGGTGGTTTGAGTGTCATTTTACTCATGTTCTAATATCTGCAAGCACATCTCACTGTTTGAAATTTCAAAATGAATAGCTTATAAAACTGCCAGTATTGACCAGAGGCTTGCCAGTGTGGGGGGGTGGGTGGGGGGGTGGGAGCAAATGCAAATACTTGCATCAATAGAAGGCAAGCTCTCCTACTTTTGTGTGTGCATTCTGGTGCTGCATGAAAAAAAGGAGTGGAGTTTATGCATGAATTTGTCATTTTGACAATGTTGCTGATGCCTCTGATGCTGACTGCTGTTCAGGTGATTCCAGTAGCCTGGGAAAAGGTAGCCCTGTCTAGTTGATGTCTGGCATAGCTGCTGTTAACTGATAAGATTCTGCATTGCTAGACTTCTGGGAAAAGTTCATAGGGTTAGAATCAGCCATGTAGAAATTGTAATAAAAAAGCAAAATCTCCTAAATTCTGATGTACTTGATTCTAAACAAATCTCCATGGTGAATGAATTCTTTGGAAAGTAGTTATAGTTCCAATTTCCTCTTTGCAATCACCACCTGCTTGAGCTGATCAAAAAAAATATCCTCAAAAGGTCTTAAGTGAAGCAGCATTATCATAAATTAGTCTCTATAAAATAAATTGTTGATTATGTATAGGAGATGTATTCAGACTGAACAGCTCTCTAATTTAGTTTAGATAAGTAAGAGAAATGTGGACATTTACAGGCTAATATTATCTGTAAAAGCAAGGCAAAAATTAACTTGGGAAAGCTCAAATGTCAGAATGAGATAAGCCCTTGCCTCTGGAGCGCATACATGTCACAATCTATATCTGAGAGTTGGAAGCAAGTGGTTATGAAGTATGTGAATATCTTAGTTGTTTTTGAATATTTTGGTTGGGACTAATTCCAATGTATTCTTTCTTGCACATTGCATACAGTATGTATATCATGTACTATCAAGTCTTGGAATGAGAATTATTCTATTTGGGAATAAAATGTCTTGAAGAAAGTGTATGCAATAAAATGTTAAGTGTAAGAAGTTTGGTAAATATGTTTTAAATTTCTCCAAATCCAAGGCAAAGAGACTATTAAATGTTTTGTGCTTGGTTGGAACATTGAGATGCAATAATAAGAGGATTTGGGGTCATAAGAGTTGAGTGGCTATAGAAATCAAGTAAATAAATAACGCAGTACTAGATATGTAAATAAGTCAATATGGGCCATTTCATATATATGTGAATAAATTGGTTAATATGTTCATAATTCTTCCCATAAGTTTATCTCTCTGGATACTGTACAACCAACAGCTATTGAGAACAGCTACAAGTTGCATCTGTGCTTGTATGCTAACACTAAATAAGCAACTGGATTATAGTCCACAGCTTTCAAGAATTAATTGCTTTTAAATTTACCTGCTTTTTTGAAAGTCATACTATCTTTGGGGCACAAATGATGAAAATGGAAAAAAGGTTCATTGAGTGTTGGCTTTAACTCTTCTACATCAGGGGTGTCAAACTGCCAGCCCACAGGCCGGACGCATCACGCGGAAGCTGCGCCCTCCCCATTGCCTATATGTCCCGTGATTTCATGTGACATCGCGAGTTTGACGTGTGTTCTACATGTGTTTCATAATAGTACCATACCTAGCCATATACATTTAGAAAAATTGAGCAAAAGTTTAGTAAAAGAATCTACTTACATTGATTTAATTTAATAACTATAACTTGTCTGTAGGTGTAAGCATAGGCCAGCTGGCTCAGGAATTCTGGGAGTTGCAGTCCATGAGTCATAAAAGAGCCAAGGTTGCCTACCCCTGGCATAGGCTAATGTTGCTGTCCTAAAACTCTTCCTTGCATGAATTGTCCCAAAATATACACGCTTACGTATCAAATTGGATATATGCCTAGCTTTACTTGTGGCCAGTGTTTGATCTTTGTTTTTTCAAAATACATTTGTCTGCCTGCTTGCATTGTGACAGGAAAAGTCTGAAGAATGTACTTCCTTGTGAAAAAAATTCCACCAAGATTGTAAATATGAGTTGGTAGCAGGAGAAAGGTCATGACTAAATTTGAACATGTGGCATACATTTCCAAAGTAGTAACGCAATGGGCATTATGGAAGATGTGTTAGAATTGACCAAACTCTTGTTACGTATTTTTTATTTAGGCTGGAGGCAAGGCTGGCAAAGACAGTGGCAAGGCCAAGGCAAAGGCAGTATCTCGCTCGCAAAGAGCTGGGCTTCAGGTAAGTCTTCAGGCAGTCTTTCACAGACATGTTGATTTGTATCAATCCTAGCTAAATTTGGAAAGTACAGCATTCTCTGTTTGGGGCATAGAAGAATTCATTGTTTATTATTTAATTCAGGATTGTCCATCCCTGGCAGCTTCAAGGCCTGTGGAATTCAATTCCCAGAATTCCCCAGCCAGCCATGCTGATTTAATTTATTTAATTTTGTAATAGATTGTTTTAACTATTTTTTCAGTAAGACAGAATTCTAAGCATTTGTAAAAGTCTCTTTACCTGGATAAAAGAAGGCTGGAACTGCTTTGGGTGGAGCTTCTCTCTCCCCCCCCCCAGGTTGATTGACATATAAAATTAAACCCTATTGTGGTTGTGGCTTATATTGTCCTAGCAATTTATATTTTAAAAAAAAAATCTGCTTGGTTTTATGTCTGTACTAAACCAAGTCTTAGTGGATATTTTTCCCAGGTGATTGCCTTTCTTTGTAACCACTTCTTGCTCTTCCTTTTTAATTGCTTTTCCTTATGCTTTATTCTGTCTTAGCAAGAAAGAAGCCTTTTTTTAGCTACCAAATCTGGGCTGCAAAAATTCAGATGGCACTAGATGGCAGCATCTAATGGTTGCCCAGAATTTTTATGGCCTGATCCTAGTCTTTGTGTGTCTTTTCAGTTAGTCGTTAATTAGAGAGAAGATGTGCAAAGATGTATTCCTTGGCTTTCCATCGGAGCCATTGCTTCTGCAGAGCTTTAAAGTTCAGGAAGCTGTTTTGGTCCTGTCTAAAATGTAGCTGCATATTTTAATCTTATTTCAGAAGCTACTGCCCAAAGAATGTTTCCATTCTCTTGCACCATTTGTTTGCTGTTTATAGTTAAAAGCCCCAAATTTGTACAGGTTTTTGTTCTTTTATTGATTCATAACAAAGTGGCATTAAGGAGGAAGCTCTTTTCGTAAACACAGACTGGGATCTTATTCTTCATTTGGAAATTAGAATATGTTAATAAAAAATGTGTTTGCTGAATCATGTTCTTTCCTATAGTAAAAGCATTCTGGTTGTATAATAAAGTTGTGTTTATGCCTCATATCATTTTGACTTGGGATTTTAATCCTGTGTGTCTTGCAACATCTGCTGCATTGCCTTAGGCTTGTAGAACACAAATTAATATTTTTAAAGTTACAAAAAAAATCAGCTTACGAACGAGTGACCTTATATAAGTCAATGCTAGTTTGCCAACATTATCAATAAATCTTATATCAGAGAACTCGATTTTTATGCCTACGCCTTGAATTCTGCCCAATAAATTGTGTCATTTTCTTAATTGCACTTCCAGTAATAATGTACTTGCGTAGTTTGGCATTTGGTTGGCTAGTGTAAAAAACAAATAGCCACTTATACCCTGACTATACATTATTATAGGGTATGCCTGGATCAAGTGTCTTCTACCTCTCTTGAAATAGGCCACAGATACAGACTCAGTTAAAGCCTCTTGAAAGTGCATGTACGCTAAAGCAGTCCTTTGCTTCTAGTTCCCAGTGGGCCGTATCCACAGACACTTGAAGACTCGCACCACAAGCCACGGAAGGGTTGGTGCTACAGCTGCCGTGTACAGTGCTGCAATTCTTGAATATCTCACTGCTGAGGTAAGTTGCTGGAACATGTGATAGTCCCCTAATGTTTGGGTTTAGAATGCTTCAATTCTTTATATGTACCCTTCCTTCATTTTCTTGAACATTTCATTTGATCTATTTTAATAGTAGTTTGTAAGCTTACGAAATTTTTTTTTGCAAAAACTATTTTATTGTACACCTTCATGTCTATATCAAAGCATCATTATAAATACACCAGAAAGTTTAGAACACAAAATATTGAAATAGCAAACCCTGTTGTATACATTTTCCAGTGAGAAGAGCTTAGGTCTTCCTTGTGTTTTTAAAATGTTCAAAATTGTAATTCATTACAAATATTTCTGAAGAAAAGAACATATTTAATAATAAAGGTATTGCTCATCAGTGCTTATATTCTTCTGAACTGAACTTCAGGAGGCCTTTTTTTAATTGAAGAAAATTAATATTTTCCCTAGATTAAAAAAAGATGACCCAGACAAATACATTTAGATTTTATACTGCTATAATAATATAAGCATCATTCCAAAAGTACCAATTACATACTTGTATCCAACTATGCATTTGCTTTCAAAATCCATAAAAGGCTATCAAATCTTTGCCGTTTCCCCCCCTAGTTTAGTTCACTTGTGGCCTTTATTTAACTATTTCTCCCTTTAAATCCAGAATTTCTTCTGTTTAGCAATTTTGTGCAACACCTTATTATTGTGGATCTTAATAATAAGTATAATTGTAATACTCATATTATCAACATTTTAGATCGGCCTTATCACAAGAAAGGTTTTATCCAGTTTGCAACAATTACACTGTAACACAAATGGATGTTCCTTTCAAAGATATTAGGTCATTACATCATTACTCTGAGCTTGTCAGGCACGAAAGGCCAGCTACCTATGCAAAAGTCCCATTAAACTGATTTATTGCTAAAAGTCTATGCACAGGATTCTTCTCACCTGCACCTGCTGGGAGTTAAATAAGGATCAGTGGAATTCAAAACTACGTGGGGATTCTAGGCTGATCCCTCCTTTAACTCTGCCTCTAGGTTCTGCCATTCCTCTTCCTACAGAACTATAGCATGTTTACCACTGTTTGTAAAAATTAAAATAGCAAAATTAAACGAGTTTAAAAAAAACTAGGAAACTAAAATGTGCAGCCGTATTTATTCCAACAGGTTTTGGAGTTGGCAGGCAACGCCTCCAAGGATCTTAAGGTAAAACGTATAACTCCTCGTCATTTGCAGCTGGCTATTCGTGGGGATGAGGAGTTGGATTCTCTTATTAAAGCGACCATTGCTGGTGGAGGTAGGTGTTCTCCTAGCTTCTGGATTTATCAAGGGCAATTCAGTCATGCCCGTGTCAGAGGTTCCCATTTCAATATACAGCAGACATGTCAAACTCGCAACATCACATGACGTCGCACAGCGTATCGGGACGGTTTTGCCATTGTCGGCAATGGGGTGGGTGCGGCTTCCGGATGACATGTCTGGCCTGCGGGCCAGCAGTTTGACACCCCTGATATACAGGGAATCCTCCACTTGAAACAGTTCATTTAGTGACCATTTGAAGTTGCAATGGCACTGAGAAAGTGACTTATGACCATTTTTCATACTTACGACCATTGCAGCACCCCCAGGGTCATGTGATCTACATTCGGATGCTTGACAACTGTTTCATATTTATGACGGTTGCAGTGTCCCTATTGCGACCTTCTGGCAAGCAAAGTCAAGGGGGAAGCCAGATTCACTTCACAACTGTGTTACTAACTTAACAACTGCAATGGTTCACCTAACAACTGTGGCAAGAAAGCTCACAAAATGGGGCAAAACCCACTTCAGAAATTTCTCGCTGAGCAACATAAATTTTGGGCTCAGTTGTGGTTGTAAGTCGAGGATTACCACTACTATTTGGACTACATTCTTTGATGTGAAAAAAAAATGAAATCCAACCTATCTTATATGGAGAAAAATATTTGTTGGAAACCACGTTCAGCAGCAGTGAAACTTAGGGAACTTTTAACTTAATGTTTTGGGACAGCTTATAAACACTTAATGCTGGGAAAGATTGAGGGCAATAGAAGAAGGGGACGACAGACAACGAGGTGGCTGGATGGAGTCACTGAAGCAGTAGGTGTGAGCTTAAATGGACTCCAGAAGATGGTGGAGGACAGGAAGACCTGGAGGAATGTTATCCATGGGGTCGCGATGGGTCGGACACGACTTCGCAATTAACAACAACAACATAAACACTGCACATGTTTGAAGCTGCCCAACATTCCTGAAGTGAAAAATATTATTACAAAATGTTCCAGCTCATATTTTTGTACAGGGTATTACAATATTACTTGATATATACAACATCAGTTGTGTATTTTTGTCATTATGATTTGTATTTAATTAAGACAAATTAGCAGTGCTATATTCCCGGTGTTAATTTTAGTAGAAGCGCAAAGCAAACATGGTGAAGTCTTTCCAGAAGGATCCTTCATCTCCCATTGTGCTGCTTCCGTGTCCAGATCAAAGTTTAAGCTGCCAGAACGAATCCACTATCTCGACTTTGTTGTTGGCCAAAATAAGTCATTATCAGTACATGTTTCTGGCAGTAGCCGACATACCAGCAGATGGGCCGGACTCCGTGTACGTTCACACAATGTGTTATCTGCTAAGAGCCTCCATTTCAGCATACTGGCTTACATTTAGGCACTCCAATCTATCCAGGATCCTCCAAGTAGTATAAGGACATTTTCATCTTCCACAAAAAACCTTTTAAATTGAAATATTGATTGAAGCATGTGATTAAAAGAAAAGCAGTTGCTTGAAAACATGAAGTTGGAATGAGGGAGGGAAGAAGAGAGTTCGACATGGCTGCATAAATATCGATCCGCATCTTAAATCTTGGTGTTATCGCGGATGTGTCTCCTCACCCTTCTCTCTCTCTCTCTCTCTCTCTCTCTCTCTCTCTCTCTCTCTCTCTCTCTCTCTCTCTCTCTCTCTCTCTCTCTCTCTCTCTGCAGGCGTAATTCCGCACATCCACAAGTCTCTGATTGGAAAGAAGGGACAGCAGAAGACCGCATAAAGAGGCGCTTCCGGCAGCCCGCTTCCTCCCTGTCATTGTACTGTAATTGGGACAGAAGAAATATGGGGATATGTGGAATTTTTTTAAAAGAATAGTTAAATGGAAGAGCATAGACAATTGACTGTAGATTAAAACATTTGTATGTTCTAGATTTAAAGTTTGACAAAAAAAAGTACCTTGTTACGTGGCAGCAATTTGTGTGTTGATTGGCTAGGTTTCTCCCATGTGTTTTATACAAAAATGGAACGGATAAAACCATTTTTTACAAAACCTATTCTTGTGTGTCATTCTGGTATACAAGGGATAAATCCAGTAAAATTAAATTGAAATGTTTAAAACAGTCACATATTCTAAACTTAGATATAGCCACATTCATGGTTAACTTTGTTTACTCTTACTTATTAACACAGATCAAAGTCCAGATTTTAATATCACTTAAAATAGCTTTTATGAATTTTAACAATACAACTTTTTTTTAAAAAAATCTTTTTGCCTAGAATCTTTTCTCTAAATTCCTACACTGCACAAACATGGAAAGTGTTGCAGTGTCCTATTAGCAAAGATGCCCATCCTGAATTTTGCTGCTCATGGCTGATAACCTCACTGAAGGTCGTGGCTTTGCAGTGAATACTACTATATTATTGAACCAGCACACTTGCTTTTATTTCAGTTATTTTCTGACAAACACATCTGTAACAAAATACTAAATCAGCAATGCTGCCTTGGTTACAACTGGAAATGCTACCTTATAAACAAGAATCAGTGTTTCTTTCCACTATTAATTTTCAGAACTGCTTTACACAATGTCGCTGATTTAGCATAATGGTCTCAAATCTTCAAATGCTTGGCTTACCTATAGCTGTTCTCAAATTAATTTGTATAAATTTTATCTCAGTTATAATTCCAGGATTACTCTGATTAGTAATTTTAGATTAGTAATTTAAAGCTATAAAGACTTGTAGTCTTTAAAGTAGATTATTGTTAAGAGTTTTGGATTGAAGGAGGTCAAATAGGGTTTTGGTTGTTTCTCCATTCCTATCAGTATGGATGGCTATTTGTATTTTTTAAGTACTATTCACTATATTCCTGTGCATTGTAAGTAATTTTGAACTTTGTCCTTATTAAAATAGCTTTCAAAATGCTACATATGGTAAAACTGACATGAAATTATTTAGGGAAGTTAGATGAAATGGCCAATTTGGATATGGATTGGGACTTTGCGTTACATTTGCTGATTCCGTGGTAATCTAATAAAATACTGTCCTAACAATAACAAGGCAATATTTATATAACAAAGTAGACCTTAGAATTTGCTATAGTTTTTTTCCCTTACTCCTGCTATGGTAGGAATAGGATATTTCTTTTCTTAGGAACAATAATTAATACAACTCTTGTGTAATTGATAACCTGGACTGCTAGCTACAGAACAGTCAAGGCTTCTGTTACTAAAGGCTCAGCATTCTAGGAATTGGAACTTCCATGCTGATGATGCTACAACTTTTTATTTTTGCTGATGGATTAACAATGTCAACAATGCTTTGCTAATGAAAGAGGTTGTTTTCTAAGAGATAAATAAAAGAGAAAGGATTGATTGGAGTGAAAGGTTATTCTTGTCAGGAGTTGAAAACAACTAATTTCCAGACTGTTTAATGCATCAATCACAATGCAGAAAATTAATATTCTTGTTGCTGAGATCTAAATGTTATTGTTACTTGGCCACATTTTAGGCAGATAACTGAAATGGATGTGAGTGTAATGGAATATCTGTAGGTTCCAGGATTAATATAAGTTACGCATTTCTTAGATGTTGATTGAAAGAAATACTAAAGGCCCGCAGTCAAAGTGCCAGTGTCTTTTGGACAGAAAAGCCACTGAGAAGAAGGGCCTGATTTCAAATTCTAATTAAATTATTTCTCATGCCAAAAGTCTTACTGGCACTCTGGGATCCCTACCAGTAAGAACTAAGCTAACTATAAGTAAGAACTAACTACCAGTAAAAACTAAGCTAACTATAAGCTAAATAGGCATGCAAACACCTTAGTTTACAGCAGGGGTGTCAAACTGCCGGCCCATGGGCCGGTTTCATCATACCAAAGCCGTGCCCACCCCATTGCCAGCAATGCAAAGAGTTGTGATACATTGCGACACGTCACGTGATGTGAGTTTGACACCCGTGGTTTACAATGTCGAGTCAACCCACTGTTGGCTAGAAAAGAAGCTGAATTCAATTCTTGCAAGCTGTTTATAGGAATATGGGGACATGTCAACAACATCCCTTTTGCATGGCTAAATTAAATACCAGATTTTCAGGAAGAACAGTGGATCTACATCCTCTAGCTTAAACTAAAGTTTTTGGGGGAACATAACCAAAAAGAGCAGAACTTCACCGGTTGGGATCGCTTGAAAAGTTAAAACACTTATCAAAAAGTTGCTTTTTGCCTCAAGCGGTTCCCCAAGGATCTCAAAACCTCCAACTTCAGGTCTGGCTATTTGACCATAAACAGTTGGTATATGGTGTAGAGTTTAATTTCCAGCTCCTTTGAAAGAAAAATGGGGAGATTTTTGGTGGAATATTCACAGAACGCCCAACTTGGCCTCTACGCAAGACTCAGCACCAGTTGAAAGTCCGTCCCACCATGGCAAAAAAGTCCTCGTTGTGCTGACTGAAATAGGTGCAGAGTCGCTCCAGCAGTAATTCATCGACAGTGGGGTGAGGTCGGCCTTTCGATTGGTCAAGGCAGTGCCGTTCTCCTTTGGCCTGGAGGCAAAAGAAGCCTTTTGTTTTGTTGAAGTAAAAGTTGTCTGGGCCCAGGTAAGGCTCCAGTCCCAAAAACTGCTCCACGTGACGCATCTCCGAATCTGGCTGCCGTATCAGGCCACCTCCATCTACCACATGGATCTGCGTTGTAGGGAAGAACTCCAGCCACCGAGCCATGTGTAGCGCGTAGAGGCTGCGCTGCATGGCCTTGTAGTTGGTGTTCAGCTCTTGGCCCCTTTTCAGGATTTCCTCCAGGGACTGGTACGGTTTCTGCCGGGCTTTGCGGTTGTAAAGGATCTGGGTGTAATCGGACACCAACCTTTCCACGGGATCCCGCACAATCAAAAGGAGCTTCACGGAACGGTCCATGGCATAGATCCGCTCCGGAGCCTCGAGGGAAGAGAAATAGCCCGGCGTCTTCTCCACGGTGATTTGAGCGCTGTGGGAATTGGGCATCTGTTGGCAGTACCAATCCAATCCCTTTTGGTAGTTCTCTTCCACGTTGAAAAAATGTATCTCGGAGTGAGCAGCTGCTATTTGGGGGTGTAAACTCAGCATCTCCAGCAAGGCCCGGGTGCCCCCTTTCCTCACTCCAATAATTATGCCTTTGGGTAGCCGTTGCTTCCAATCCTCATCCGGGGCATCGGAGGCGTTCCTTTTCCACTGGTCCAGCAGGTCATTCACAACGTCGGAGTCATTCTTTTTCCAGCTGGTCTCCCAGCGTCCTTCTTGCGAATAAATTTCACACATCTTCAGACATAGCAGCAGCAGGCAAATTCTGGCCATTTCTGACCCTTTTCTGAGATGATAAGCGACAGATGCAATAGTTGTCCTCTACCCTCCTTGATCTGACTCCCCCCACACAAACACCGTTCTTCTAGCTAGGAAGGAATCCTTCTGTAGAAAACTATGCTGCTTGCTGGTATTTCACATTCCAGTGCCCAGACTGGCAGCAATGCAAATAAGCCCTAAGACAGAAAGAAAATTGGTTGAGGAAATTGTTGTCCTCTGAAAAAGATAGAAATATGGTCACAAAGCTCGAGTGACAGTTAAAACTCTGTTATTGTTACTAAAGGCCAATGATGCAAGGCAAATCTAAACAGGCAGATACAAGTTGGGTTCACCTCTTGCGCTAAACCAGGGGTAAGCAACCTTGGCTCTTTTATGACTTGTGGACTTCAACTCCCAGAATTCCTGAGCCAGCATGGCTCAGCTTGGAAACTCCCTTTCCCCTCAGCATGGCTGGCTCAGGAATTCTCGGAGTTGAAGTCCACCAGTCAGAAAAGCCAAGGTTGCCTACCCCTGAGCTAAACCATCACATGGTTTAGCATAGCATATTAGCCCAGATTGGTAGTCTGCAAACCATAATTCACTATGTGTTTTAATATTTCTTATCTTTTTGCAAGCCGCCTAGAGTTGCTTTATTGGTGACATGGGCAGCATATAAATTTAATAAATATAAATATGTAATAATTAAAACGTGGATGCTAGTTAGCTTTGGGTTTAATGAGTTGGGGAAATCTTGAGGAAGATTGCTGTATCAAGGCTTCACTGCTCCAGCTAGACCTGGGCAGGGGGTTGGACTAGAAGACCTCCAAGGTCACTTCCAGACCTAGGATTCTATCTCTAGTCTATAAAATCGAGTCTCTGTTTGAGAAATGGATTCCTGGGAAGCTCACATTAAAGATGCACTGCACCCTCAATGAGCCGAGGTGGCACAGCAGTTAGAGTGCAGTACTGCAGGCCACTTTAGCTGACTGTGTTCAGCAGGTCAGCGGTTCCAATCTCACCGGCTCAAGGTTGACTCAGCCTTCCATCCTTCCGGGGTAGGTAAAATGAGGACCCAGATAGTTGGGGGCAATGTAAATATATATATACATTGCTTACTGGTGTACACCGCTTAGAGAGTGCTTGCACTTAAAGCGGTATATAAGTCTCATAAATAAATAAATTGTTATTGTTAAGAGAAATCTGAGCACAGAGCAGCCATACCTGTGAGTTTCTCCCTCAGATGGCACTTTGCTCCCTGCTGTCTGGAAACCATTCCTCTCTTGTTGCTTTCAAGCTGCAATGTTTTCTTGTTAACGCTCCAAAGCCTCGTAGCGTAGCTGGCTGTACTTTTTGTCCTGCAAACAAAGGCAAACCAACCTCCACTTGGAGGCTGCGGCTTGCCAGATTCAGTGCCAAGTAGAATTCCTGGGTCCGCATGAACTGAGCAGAATTGCACAACTACTCATCGTAGTTGCGTAACTAAACAAAACATCAGGAAAATGCTCGATTTCCCGACTTGGGGTGGAATCTAAAACTTGCCTTCCAGCTCTCGAGTTTCTGTCCATACAGGTCGTCCTCAGCTTAGGATCCAAACTGAGCCCAAATTTCATGTGGCTAAGTGAGACATTTGTTAGGGGGAGCTTTGCCCCATTTTACGGCCTTTCCTGCCACAGAAAGTGAACCACTGCAGTTGTTAAATGAATCTGGCTTTCTCACATTGATTTGGCTTGTCAGAAGGTTGCAGAAGGGGATCACGTGAACCTGGGACGAGGGCTCCCTGTTCATAAATAAACACATAAAATAAAAACATCCGAAAGAACAAATAATTCTCTGTAATCCTCCTGTCTTTCTCTCTACTACAAACTACACCCAGGTTTATTTTAACCGAATCCTTGTGAGGTTAGCAGGATGCTCAGCTTCGGTGCTCGGCCAACATTTATTTACCTGTTTATGCAAACCAAAAAGCAGCAGCCATTTCAAAAGAGAGAGGAATCCTCTGGTGGTCCCTGTGCTTGGTTGCCTAGCTTTGTGTTAATTGCAGCACCCTTTTTGCCTCGACCTCTGATTAGTCCAGTTCTGTGAATTTCATACAAACAGAAGAACGAATGATACGGCGTTCTTATAGGTGCTGAATCCCCCCCTTGCTTTCTCTCCTCTCCTCCTCCCCCCCACCACAAGATTCATGGAAGCCTCACCTCCTTTTCCTGTTAAAGGAGACCCCAGGGGCCAGACTAGCATTCTTACTTGCGTGGATCTGCCTGCTGAAATTTCTCCCCAGAGCTCAACCTGGCGTCACTCCGGGCCTTTGGATGCCTTGAACAGCATGATGAACTTCTCTGGCTGCCCCTCAAGGCCCATCCAGTTTCACAAATTGCGTCTGCTGAGCTCTAAACAATTTCAATGCTGTTAAAACGCCGGCCGGAGGGGTTTACGGTTAACGTAAGGTCTCCTGCTTGAGCAGAGGGTTGGACAAGAAGACCTCCAAGGTCCCTTCCAACTCCCATTCCATTCATTTCCATTCTATTCCATATTTAATCTATTACAAAGTTAAATAAATTAAACCAGCATGGCTGGCTGGGGAATGCTGGGAGTTGAAGTCCACAGGGGTCTCACCAGTGCAGTATAAAGCGGTACTAATACTTCATTTTTCCAGAATTCTTGCTATTATTCCTGTAAAAATAGGATAGCAACTAGACAGGAACAGATCTTAGGGAAAAACAATGACTTGGCTTCGTAAATACGGAAAGTAGAAGGCAATAACACGAAGGACACTTGAATTAACCGTTCACCCATCTGGCTTTTTCAGCCCTGTCTAAAGATGCAGAGATTGAATTGGGCCCACCGCATGTTGACACTAACAGCCCCCCCCCCTTTTTTAAAAAAAATCCTGAACTGTCTTAAGCATGGAACGGAAAAGCAACAGGCTGGGTAGCCCCTTTGCAGAGCTCTCCGTAGAAGTTGTTTTCAAGCTTGTTCTGATCTAATGAGAAAGATCCTCCTATGGGGAACGTTTTCCACTTCCTAACACTGGCTAATGACAGGGTATGACATGTTTGGGGTCCCAAGAGCAGAGCGTGGAGGTGTGTAGATTGTTTCCAGGGTAACCACAGCGGGAGAATTGCCAGGGAAGTATGCGAGATATTCCATGCAGGCAGGAGAAGACTTGAAGGATGGAAGTATTGAAAATGACTTAAGAGGGGCTCTGCGGAAAATCAGTTGGGCAATTATGGCCCCTTCATGACCTGTGGACTTCAGCTCCCAGAATTCCTGAGCCAGTGTGTTAATGTACAGTTAGTTCTTTTCCATGACTACTTCCCCAAATTCTCCCATCTCAGAGCTGAATTTGGAATGGCTTTGGAACTAACGGTGCTGGAAGGGGAGGGAGAGAGAGGACCATTGAGGTATGAAGATCAACCCAAGTTCACTCCAGGCATCCTTGGTGCCCAATGTCCTGAGTTCCTATTGGCACCTTTGAACAGCTGTGGTGTACCCAGAAAAGGCCACTGCTACGCTTGACTGCTAAGTCCAGTTCTGCCTTAATTTCCCACAATACCTTGAAGTCACCTTATTCCAAGGCATTCTGGGAGATGGGATTACAGCCCCAAAGCCCCTTTGGGAACAGTATTTGTCAACCCCCGTTTGAGAAGCATCTTCTGGAAGACATTCCTGGCAACAGGTTGCCCATTAGAATAATAAGAGTTGGAAGCCATGAGCACCACCACTAAAGTCACGAGATAAGCCAGCATTTTACGACTTTTGCCACGGTTAAGTATATCACAGCAATTGCCACGATCGTTAAGACAACTCAGCTTTCCCTATTCACTTTGCTTGTTGGAACGACAACTTCGACCTCGATTTCCAAAGGAAAGCCAAATGAATTGCTGAACGCCCAGATATAGGAAGACATATAAGATGCCACAAAAAAGGCGCCATGCTTTGAATTGACCACATCAGCAATGGACAAGTCACACCTGGGACTCTCTGTACAAAGGGGGCATAATATCCTCCCCTCATTGTGACCACAGGGTCTCACCTCAAACTGTAGATCACATAGTGACTGGCTGTAAGTGGAGGGCAAATACTGGTCCAGCATCTCACTTTTTTAATACAGGTAGTCCTCGACTTACAACAGTCTGTTTAGTGACTGTTTGAAGTTACATCGGCACTGAAAAATGTGACTGATGACCGTTTTTCAGCTATAACCGTTGCAGCATCCCCATGATCAAAATTCACGCGTTTGGTAACTGGATCCTATTCATGACGGTCGCCGTGTCCCGCGGTCATGTGATCCCCTTTTGTGACCTTCCAATAAGCAAAGTCAATGGGGGGAAATCCGGGTTCACTTTACAACCGTGTTACTAATTTAACAACTGCAGTGATTTACTTAACAAGTGTGGCAAGAAAGGTTGAAAAATGGGGAGGAATTCACTTAACGACTGTTTTGCTTAGCGACCGAAATTTTGGGCTCAGTTGTGATCATAGATTGAGGACTCCCTGTATAGACAAGGCTGCGCTTCAATGGTTCGATGGCCTAGACATTGATACTTGATCATAGATCTTTTAAGCATTTATATTTTATTGGGTTCTACTACTCTAATTGAAATGTTAATATATCATTGCTAGTCCAGGTATGATATGCCGCACGCTGAATAAATGAGTAATCACGCTCCCTGGAACAGAGAGTACATTTTTGCAATAAATCAATTAGGAGTCCAAATAGAAAAGTCTTTCCAATTTTCACCTGGCAGGACTTTGGATTCAAGCTCTTATGACCCCTCCCCCCATGATATCAGGGGCGATGGGAATTGTAGTCACAACAACATCTCTAAGGTCACAAACTCCCCTTCTCCTAATTGAGAATTTATGGGGAAATGAGTTCTGCATATAATATCATCCTCAATCCACCACATTCATTTTAGACCAAAAGAAAAGGAAAAAAAAGAAAAAGAAACTCAAGATTAATAGTCTCACTTTAAAAAAAGAAGAAGTGAAAACAGTCTTTCTCCTAACTTTCAATTCTTTGAGACTATCTATCCTGTTCGAGTTCCAGTCTGGCTTGGAACTGGCAAGTGTTTTGCAAAGCAGATCAAAAAGAGAGAGAAGCAAACAGTTCAGTTTGCATTAACAATACTAAAGATTAACATTTTTTATAGGGCGTTAAAGGACAGGGGCTTAATCTGCACTTAATCTGCTAGCAACAAGCAAAGCAATGGAAAAATCCCCCGCGACCACATTCTTTCTGTAGGCCAAAGAACTTCCCGATTCCTTGTCTTACCCCCAATTTATCCAAAATTCTTACCTATCACAGAGCACCAGCTTAGCCACAGCTACAGGACCCACTTTGCTTCCGTCCAGGTGTGCTGCTTCTTTGTACTAAAGTCTCCAGCCTGCCCACAGCACCAGGCAGTCTCCCAGCACTAATCCCATCTTGCCCTCCTTCCTTGGGGGAAAGAGAGAAATTACCGCAGTCTTCTGGGGACGGGGCGGATTGAGAACAACAAACCAAACTCTGGTTTGAACAGCAAAGCAGCAACCAAGGAAGGCAGGAGCAGAGCTCTTGAGATTCGGAGCAAACACATGCCTCCATCAGGAAAAAGCAACCTGTATCCACAGTTGAGTTAGGATGGAGGGGTGTGCAAGACCCCTCCAAGCTCTCTCGAACGTTTTATCAGCAGAGAGGCTGCCAAGAATAAGGGATGAGGAAGAAGCAAGAATATCCTCAATTTGCAACCGTCCTCTTAGCTATGGTGTTGACAACAGTTCCATTTGCAGAAAGGGGTTGCACATTGAATGGATGGGTAAGTGAGGAGCATTATCCGAGACACTTCATCTGACATTCAGTGGCAGCCATCACTTATCTCCAGCTCTGAAAATGCTTAGGACCTCTGGCATCCCAACTTTTTGCTCTGGTAATATAGATGGGCTCTGGAAGAAAATGGAAACAAGGAAACTTTATTAGATTACTGGGCTGGGAGTTGCAATTATGACACGACTGAAGACTCCCCATGTATGCTGCCTTAAACTCCTAAATGTCAACGTCCAGCTTGAGAATCCAAATAAAACTGCAGGTACGTTCCGTCTCCGAAAATCTTACTGTTTACTGAATGCACTGCGTGGTAATGTCAAAGCAAAACTAACTCTGAGGTTCCAACACCAATTCATAGACTTAAACAATAATTTTCCCAGCTACGCCCCCAACATAGTCCATATAAACAAGTTGCTTTGTTAGGGGAACCGTCTGCTTCAAATCCACACCTGTTCTGGTGCCCTTGACAAGACTTCAGGCTCTCACCGTCTTCAGCTGAATCAATGAAGTTTCGTTTCTCCATCTAACCCACTTGAAAGTAACACCTCCCCCCCTTACTCTAAAGGCAAGTCGAAACGCAGAGGCACCTAGCTGCCAAAGTTTCATCCTTGAAACTAAACCTCTGCCAACAGATGTGTTATTTTCAGGTCTCAGAAATCTCAGCATTGGCCATGCTCAGCTGGGGGATTCCCCCCAGTCTGGAAGATGTCCATTGCTGTAGGGCAGCAGAAGCAGGATATAAAGATAAATAAATAAAAGATATATAGTGACTGTGGCCATCATAGAGACAATCTAGGATCCATCGTGGAACATAGGGGAAAGCAATGCTTTATTCAGTGAGGCTGGCCCGGTGTGTGACACACTCCGCAAACCATACAAGGTCCTTCCTTTTTAAAAGGTGAATTTTATTAAAAAGTGAGTGCATTATGGTGCAAAGTTGTGATTTTGTTTTTGACAAAGTGCGCAGGCAGTCTTTGACTTACAGACGCAACTGGCATCAGTATTTCTGTTGCTAAACATAATCTCCTTTATCTCAAGCTCAATTTCCTAGTGGTAGCCAGAAAAGTCTGAATAACGAAAGGGCTTTGCAAATTAGTAGTAGTGACATTATCTGAGAATTTGCACTGGCCATTCCTGGGGGTTTGGGGTAGTTGCCAGTAAGGTCCAGGCCATCTCTTTTCAAAAACTGCTCAGTGCATCATTTCAAGGGTTCACTAACAGGCATTTACGACAACACAGTCAACACAACACAAACAAAACCGTCTCTTTTTTCTTTATTTAATTATCGGTCAAATTTATGTAGCTGCCCATCTTACCAAGGGTGACTCTGGGTGGCGCGCAGCCATCTGTTGCCGGAGTGGGAAACTGTTATTCCCCACAGAACGGAAAACCTCTTGGTTAGGAGAACAATCCTCCAGGAATTTGTCTTAATTGAATGTTGTGTGTTTCTCAACAAGCAGCTGCAAGCTTCTGTTTTTCTGCTGTGTTCTCAGAGCAATGGATAATTTCTGTCCACGTTTTTCCCGCGGCTCAGCTTTTTTTAAAAATCGGTAAAAAGTGGCAAGAAGTTGGACGGTAGGCTAGCTAGTTACTTCCCGGGCTATACGCTAAATGTAAAAGTTTGGTTTTGTTTTTTTTAAAAAAAGCAAAACAAAATTAGGGGGAAAAAAAGAGTGGCTGATCGCTTCTATTTTGTTGCTAGAAAATTATGTGGAAAGCTGATTTTGAAGAATTTCTGTCTCTCCTTTTTTTGGCCCACATAAGGTCCTCTCGGCCAATCTCTAGGTGGGCATGTTTTATTTATTTTATTTTCTGAGTCCAGAACATCTTACGTTAAAAGAGAATATAATAATTACATTAGTATAATCTAAATAAAGGAAACCTTTCAATAACTATGGTAATAAATATAAAAATGAAAACACAAGGAATTTAAAACACTTCTGTGACATTATACAGCAGGGGTTTTCAAACTTGGCCCTTTGATGACTTGTGGACTTCAACTCCCAGAATTCCTCAGCCAGGCAGAGGAATTCTGGGAGTTGAAGTCCACAAGTCATCAAAGGGCCAAGTTGGAAGACCCCTGGTCATAAGTGTGAAAAACGGCCCTGAGTCATTTTTTTCAGTGTGTTTGTAACTCTGAGTAGTCATTAAACAAACTGTGGTTAAGTTGAGGACAGGAAGCAGAGATGCTGCTGCTGGGTGTCACATGCTCTTAGAAACACCTGCGTTTGTAATGCGGCCGTGACCTGCTACTCAGGGCAAAACTTTCAGAACCAAATGAAGAACTGGCTGAGGCTTATCTAAGCGTATCTCCTGCCTCGCATCAGGAAGTTAATCCATGCCAAGAGTGGGTTGCAGAACAATTGGTTATCATCCTGGGCTAGCTGGCAAAGTGTCCTTCTATGGCCCAGCCCAATTAACATTTAAGAGGTCAGGAATGTATGACCGGGCTGTCAATTATTATCTTTTTTGGGGGGAGATGAGTGGGAATGAAAAGTAAAACTTCCTTACATTGAGCTTAAATCTTGGTTCAGGGCAGCAAAATGGAAGTGACACGCTTGTGTTCTTGCAGGATGCTTTTATTGATATGGCTGCCAATCTCATTAAGGCACATTTGGGTGGCTAACCAGAATTAAGTGAGTTCACATCCCGCCTTAGCCACGAATAACAGCTGGGTGACTTGGGGTCAGTGACTCTCTCTCAACCCAACCTGCCTCACAGGAATGTTTTGTGAGTTATCACTTGGATAAGAAGTGGAAGGGACCTTGGAGGTCTTCTAGTCCAATGTCCTGCTCAAGCAGGAGACCCTATACCATTTCAGGTAGCTGTTGTCCAATTTTTTCTTAAAAACCTCCAGTGATGAAGCACCCACAACTTCTGGAGGCAACTTCTGTTCCACTGGTTAATTGTCCTCACTGTTAGGAAGTTTCTCCTTAATTCCAGGTTGCTTCTCTCTTTGATCAGTTTCCATCCATTGTCTCTTGTCCTGTCTCCGGGTACTTTGGAGAATAAGTTGACTCTTCTTGTGGCAGCCCCTCAAATACTGGCATACTGCTATCATGTCATGGGTAAAATAGGAGGAGGAAGGTGTGTTGGATATGTTGGCTGCCTTATTTGTAAAAATAATAACAACAGTTCTTTTAGTGACCATCTATGACAGCCTTAGATAGCATGATGCATCTCGGTATTAAAATATTTTAAGCAAAGAATGTCAAAGCGCTGGTAGATTCATTAGCCTATGAGTTGAGTCTCATCTTAGATTTGGGTAATTCTACAGGATAGCAATAGCACTTAGACTTATAAACCTCTTCATAGAGCTTTACAGCTGTCTCTGAGCGGTTTACAGAGTCAGCCTGTTGCCCCCAATAATCTGGGTCCTCATTTTACCGACTTCGGAAGGATGGAAGGCTGAGTCAACTTTGAGCCGGTCAGGTTCAAACTGCTGGCAGTGAGCAGAGTCAGCTTACAATACCACATTCCAACCACTGCACCACCAGGGCTCTTAGGAGAGATGACCGTATATTTCTGTTTTTTGTTCTAGACCAGTGGTTCTCAACCTTTCTAATGCCGCGACCCCATAATACAGTTCCCCATGTTGTGGTGACCCCCAACCACTTATACATCACTGGGTGCCACGGGCGTGGCCAAAGAAAAGGGGGGGAAAATGGCGGACAGCCTTGTTTGGCGACCCCCGTGAAATGGTCGTTCAACCCCAAATGGGGTCCCGAACCACAGGTTGAGAACCACTGTTCTAGACTCAGACTTCCAGGCCTGCATCCACACGGAGAACTGGTTGTTCAGATATTTGCATCCCACTACTGGTGCAACTCATTTAACAACCACATTGCTTAGCAACAGAAATTCTGGGCCCAATTGCGTTTCTACGTCAAGGATTAGCTGTGAGCCTGTTAAGGAAAAAAATCAAAACAGAAACCAACAGAGTATGAAAAAAAACGTGATGTATTTCCTAAAGTTCCATTGACACAATCCAGAAATAAATTATGTCTTAGATCACACACACACACACACACACACACACACACACAGAGTGAAGGTTATATGAAGTGTAACCTGGCTGGTTCTCATTCATTTGTGAATTCCACAGGGTGAAAAAACTGCTTTGCACAACAAAAGCTCAAGCATTTCTCTCTTCAGGCGGTAGATACTCCAGTCCTAAATGCTGAAAAATCTCTTCCTCGGAGGCAGCGGGCAGGAAAATTTTCTGAAGAACATGCAAAAAATAAGCACATATACATTAATCAGTCAGTGAAGACCTTTTTCTACTTGGCAAATTCCCCATAGCTAAATAATTTGTAGCCAGGTCTCGACAAACTCCGATCAAAAACCCACAACTACCTCATCTGCCCTGAACTTTTGCAGAACAAACCCAAAGTCATGCCTCTTGAGATTCTTGCTCCAGGGACCACTTACCTGCTCCAGGTGATAGAGGCCATGGCTGTTGAGGGTCATCTTCTTCTCACGCTTAGAGAAACGGCGAAGGTCTCGTTCAAAATTCTGTGAAGGTAAAGTGCCAGATTTGTTAATCCACAACAAAGTCTCCTCTGAATGCGAAATAGATGAGGGGTTTGCCTGACGCATCTCGAAAAGATGACCTGTTCCCTCCCAAACTTTGAATCAGTTTTGGAAGGCTGGTGAATGAATTTGCCATTCTTAGGAATGCCAGACTCCTGGACATCCCAAATTAGATGTCCATTCTGATTGCTAGTGAGCAGGAATAAGGTCTTCAATCAGGTACTTCAAATATCCAGCTAAGAAAGCTTTGAAAACTAACAATAGGCTAACCGGATAATCATAGAAGAAGCCTTTTGCCTTCCGGTAATTGAAGTCTATTATTCCATGCACTCTGGAACAAATGAGAACAGCTTAGGGGTTTTCTTTTTATAATTATCTGAATTAAATTTCTTTTTTTTACTTTCACCCTAGTTCTTTAGCATAGCCATTCTGAATTTGATTTCAGTCTTCTGCAGGATCACAGAAGAAAAATACCTAAGATTTCTCCTTCCACAGGAGGTTGTGTTGAACTCCAGAACACAAAGGAAATTATCTCAAAGTGCACACAAGCGAGAGATGGGAGATTCTATTACAGGCTTATAAAATAGAAATGGCTCATGCAAACATTCCAGGAAGAAGAAAGTCAACCGTTTCAAAGAGATCATGGCCAAGAATTCAATAACAATGGAGGCCCAGAGGGTTTCTGTTTCAGTTCCAACATCCTGTACTCTAAGCTCTGATTGTTGGCCCTGAAACTCCTTCAAGAAAGCCTGGATGAATAATTCTTCCAGTCCGCAGTGAAGGGACTTGACCTTTTCTCACAAGAGTTGAAGGAGGATTGAAGTGTAAACAAACTCTTTGTGTGCAGGAGCACCTAGCATCTCCAGATAAACTCAAAAAAGCACCTGCTGGAAATTCTGGATGGAATGGAGGAAGAGAAAGGGAGAGGGACAGGAAGAGAGAGGGAGAGAGATAAGAGAGAGGGAGGAAAGAGGGAGTGAGAGAGAGAGACTCTGTGCCCAAATTTGGAGTCCTAATTAATTTGATATCCCAAATACCTGCATGGTTTAACTTACTGGATGGATGGATATAGATAGAGGATGATAGAGATACGAGAGAGAGAGAGAGAGAGAGAGAGAGAGAGAGAGAGAGAGAGAGATTGGTAGATGGACGGATGGATGGGTAGAGAGATCGATAGATCTATAGATAGGCAGACAGGCAGGCAGGCTGGCTCTGCTACCCTGTTCAGACTCCTCCTTAATTTGACATGAACAGCTCCTTAGAAACTCTCTGGCACCAACCTTTTCCCCAAGGTGACCCCCAAATGAATACAAAACCGAGTTTGAATGCAGGACCCAGCCCACATGGAACTCACCCGTGAGCCGGTCCAGCCAAGCAAGGCAAAAGGAAACTGGCTGAAGGGGGTCACCACCAAGTCCACCCGCACAGCTGTCCGGGGACAAGATGCACCGGGCCCCGCTGAGGCGTCGAGCTTCTGAAGCCCTGCGCCCCCTGGATGGCTTCCAGCAAGATTCCCAAGATGGAAGATGGAGAGGCAGCGCTCAAAGTGGTCCATGGTGCTTGAACCGCCGCTAACCCACAGCTCTTCATCTTCGAGGGAGAGAAAGCTGCTTCGGTGGAAACTATGATACAGCAAGAAGCCCTGAGGGAAGAGAACCCCGTGGAGGAGAATCATGCCCAGAATTTACAGACCGTCCCCGACTTACAATCATTCATTTATGGACCATTCGAAGTTACAACGGCACTGAAAAAAGTGACTTATGACCGGTTTTCACACTTACAACTGCTGCAGCATCCCTATGGACACAATTCAGGCATTTGGCAACTGTCCCAGGGTTGTGTGATCATCTTTTGTAATCTTCCCAGCTGGCTTCCGAAAAGCAGAGTCAACGCGGGAAGCCAGATTTCTTTAAGGACCACATGATTCACTTAACAACTGCCATGATTCGTTTAATGCAGGGGTCTTCCAACTTCGCCCTTTTATGACTTGTGGACCTTGACTCCCAGAATTCCTCAGTCAGGCATTTTTCTTGTCTTGCCCTCTGATGCTTTGGAAAATAGATTGACCCTCCTTTTCTTTGTGGCAGCCCCATAAATATTTTCTCTAGACCGGCCATACCCAATTCCCGCATCCCTTCTACACATGTTTTACCACCAGTCCCCTAATCATCTTTGTCACTCTTCTCTGCATTCTTTCCAGAGTCTGTAATTCTTTTTTATATTGCGGCGACCAAAACGGGATACAATATTCCACGTGTGGTCTTTGATATGTTACGTTTCAGATGTATATTCTCATCAGCCTTACCAGGTAGACTGGATAGGAAACATAGCCTAATTCTACTTTTACTGTAAATTGTTTGTGTGTATGTGTGGGTGTTTATGTAAGATTCAGCATGTGCGAATGAAATGTATGTCTTCAGTAAGGAAGTGTAAGCCTGCTAAACAGAGAGCAATTAGATTCATGGTTTAATTCTTATGCATCTTTGAAACCTGGCAATTTTCACACTGCAGATCTGTGACTTGAATGCAACTTTCTTTAAAAAAAAAAACCAACATACAATACATTTACTGCTTCCGGTCATGTTCAGATCTGCCTGTTTTACCAGATCCTCCTTGCATTCAGATCTTCACCTACCTGGCTCTCCAGGACACTGATGACTTTGCGCAAAAGTCCCAGTTCTTGACCTTCAGAAGGATGGGTGATGAGCAGGTCCACGTCATGGCCACATGGCTTCCCTCTATTGGGGGGGAGACAGACTGTAGCCATAAATTTCCGGTCAAGTTTGTTTTTATTGGCATTTAACATTGTTAACAGGGCTAAACATGGCTGCGTCAACCACCACTGGCTGGCTTCAGACAAACCATTACAATCAAATCAGAACATAGCACAATGGGGACCCATTCACTGAAAGGTCTCAAAAAATGGGCCAAAGGAACGTGGCTTTAGTGGGTAATGGGAATCCAGACATGACGATTTTTCAATCTCTCATCCTTTTATACTGATTTCCTAGCACCAACGTTCCAGCTATATGGACATAAATGCAGAGAATTCCCCAGCTAGCATGATTATTGCTAACATTTCAGGGAAATAAGTCTGCCCATCTGAAAATTTATTTATCAGTCAATCCATGAGGTTCTTAATCAATTCATGGTTGAAGCATGTTTTTGTCCACTGATGGTTGACATTTACGACCACAGGATTTCTAGCTACCAGCAGCACCAGGAAAGACTGGAACCGCCCACTTTAATTTAACTAGCTTTTATTTCTCCAAGTTATCCAGTGTTTGCTGTCCAAATCAATTCACCTCCTAAATCCTCCAGTCAGCATGACCATCGTTCCAGGCAAAACCTCCTCAACCACCTTGTGCACCACCTGGCTGATGGCCTCGGCTTCCCAGAGCTCCACGGGGGTATTCAGGTCCTCATAATGAAGAAGTCCTGCAGGGAAGATCAGGCCCAAGTCATTAAGAAGCAATCAAGGATCATCTGGAACAAGTTATTCTATACTGAATAGCTAGAAATGTAATTTAAGGGCCAGGTTCATATCTTGATGTCATGGTTCCGACAGATGAAACTCTTCAAAGAACTTCGAGGCCTTGTTTACCTTAAAGAATCTTTGTTTGAGTAGCATGGCATCAGCACGTACATGGTTCAAGCCGAAATCTGGATTCCCCTCCCCTAAACATATAGTATTAAAGCACAATTCCCTCCTCTAATTAACATTCATAAATCACATTCTCCAATTAGTTTGAATTGCAGACCTTCCCTCCAGTTCTTCAATCAGGCCATTTCTTATCATCTCTTATTTCAAACAACCTTGAAAAGCACTCTACTACAACATTGTTATGTCTAGCTAATTCCCATACACATTCTTCCTCCTCCCCTCCAGGATCAACTAATTCTAACTCTAAAAGTAACACACAAGTTAAGGGGAAATTGGCTGCATCTTCATATATTGTCAAAGCAAGAACATCCGATGTTAGCACCGTCGACACTTGACATATCCAAAAACACTTCTATAAAAAGCCTTATAGAATACAGAATAATCTCCAGATGTATCGGTATGTAAGTTAATATAGGTCCTGTAATTTTCAGCTGGCAAGACTGTTCTTTGGAAGTGATAATATTGATATTAACATTGGTAATAACATTGAATTTCTTTTCCTACAAGTTAAAAAAACCACTCAAGACAGGGACCATTCTTTTCTCTGGACAATAAATTAGATAAAAATTGTATTTCAGAGCTGCTTATTACAAAAACCCATCAGCCCTAATCAAGCAGGATTTTAGAGGTGGACGTTTGATTGGTTAGTCAATGGGTGTAAGACAGAGATAGAGAGGTATCCTAATGAATTTTATAGATTACTAAGGCATTAAATTTATTAGAGCTATATAAAATACTACTGTGAGCAACTGGTTTGATGCTTATGCTATTTAGAAAAAAATGTATATCATTATGCTTTAAACAGTCACATCACGCCAGTATTTCTAATACTTAACTCAGTTCATCTTTCCCCCCTCTCCTATTATAAAGCACAAGACTCAATCAACACATATTTATGGAAAATCATATTGGAAAGAAAGCAATTTTTTATCAACTAATACAAAGCACAGAATTCTTTTTAAAGGCAGTTTTGCCAAAGAAGTGAACAGTCTTAAAACTTAATAAAATAGTGACTAATTTACTACTCACCCCAAAAGACAATTCTCTTCCCCAAGATACATAAAAATGCCCTTTTCTTTGGCACAAATTACTCACCTGCTTGCTGTTCTTTATTCAGTTTTATCTGGTGCAGCTGTAAGTCAGCAAGGGACCTGAGCCCCTCCTGGTACCACTGGCTGGCTATCCGTATCCCAACTCCAAAGATCTTGGTGAAAAGCTATGGAGAAAAACAAATTCCATCACCCCCATCTGGGAAAGCAAAAGGTCCATAATTCAACCGTGTAACAGGTCAGGAAGGCAAGAAGAAATGTGGGCTCCTTGGTGGTCCCTTAGCTTGATGATTTTTTCTTGCAGACATTTCATTATCAACCCAGATAACACCATCAGTGCACTGGTAGTGAAACGTCTGCAAGAAAACCAAATAGAGAGCACCAAGGAGCTACACATATTCTCTTCTATCTGAGGAAGAAATTCATACGGGCTGCGTATTTCTAAAAACAAAACAAGAACGTTCTTTGCTACTATCATTTCCATGCACTTCTCTGGTGCAGTTTCTTAACTAAAGAAAGCTGGGTTCATTCTTAAGACTAGAAAATGGGTTACAATCCATTTTCAATCCTGGCTATTCACCCGGCGGTAACTTTGGGCCAACACATCTGGCCTCAGATGAAAAGGCATTCAACGGATAGCCCGAAACCACAGGCTCCAATTAAGATCCTCAGGCTGGCCAAGTGGCTTATAGCAGTAGGCTGAATCCAAGCAGATGTTCTTTAAAATCCTTAAATAATTTTCACAAAAATAAAATTCAGGGGATGAGGCCCTCCAAAGTCAGCGGATGGGTGAACATTTGCTCACATGTACTTTGTATAATTTTGGGGGAATTTCACTAGATGTAGTAGTAATTTTCTGAGCTAGCTATCTGAATATAAAATATCCAGTGGCAATTGTTTATTTTTTACTCGGTGACTGAAAGTTTAGCCCATACCTTGACCCTAGCACACCGAGGACCAGAAACTTGCATTAGCACTCCAAAATTTAAGAAGTCAATCTTCTCCTGAAACCAGCAGTACACCCAGGATTCAGGCAGTGTTCCCTTACAATGGGGATGCACGAAATGTTATACACCAAATTCCATGCCGTGTCCATCCCCCCATCTAGCCGTAGCCATCGGCCACACAGAGCCTCTGCACCTTCATTGTCCGGTATCTCTCAGATTGTCTAACTTTCTCCACCTCTGCAGAAAGGCCATCTTCCAGCATTTCCTATTGGGAAGACACAAACAATGCAATAAGTCTTTGAATTATGACCACAATTGAGCCCAAAATGTGTGTTGCTAAGTGAAACAGCTGATAAGTGGGTTTTGCCCCATTTTACGGCCTTTCTTGACACAGTTGCATAGCAAGAGCCCCATTACAAACAAGGGGCATCAGAATGCAAAATGAACAGGAGGGTGACGATGCTAGAATGGGATAAGACATGAGTATCCCTCTACCTGGATAATTCTCCGCGAATGCTCTCCGATGCCGGGCACGGGGTAGAGTTGCTGAATTCTGCTGACCTTCCAAGGCAGGGACTTAAGCACCGAAGCAGCTCTGGAAAAGGCCAAGCTCCGAACTTCACTGCCCGTGAATTTAGCCTCTTCTGCCATGGTTTCTAGAGCATCCTAGAAAAGGCAGCCAGGAACATTAAAGTCCAAGCCTTCCAAAGAGGGCTCAAACACTTAGACCCATGTTGCTGATAGTATTACCAGTCTACACTGAGTGAAATTACCGTGAGTGTGGAGTTGTGGTGGTGCAGGGGAGTCCGTCTCTGGCAGATGTAGGGAGGCACCTGGCCTTTTTCTTCTAGTGGCGCTATCGGAGTAGTCACCTGGGCAAAAGGAGATAGGCAAGATGCTTCAGGACGTCCAAATCATCCTTCAGTGAAAGCAATAATAAAACTGCCACCTTTTGTTCTGATTCATATTCTAGCAAAGTCCCAGAAACCATGAGAAGGAAGGAAGGGAGGGAGGGAGGGAGGGAGGGAGGGAGGGAGGAAGAATAGAAGGAAGGGGGGAAAGAGGGAGGAAGGAAAACTTAAGAGCTACAGTGGCTGGTTTAAATACACATTAACACACAACTTGTGTTGCTTAAGCCAAGGTTTAAGCCACAATGACCACATTTACCCTGAAAGGAGGGCAGATTTTTGCCTTCCAATCATTCATCTTAAAAAGGGCCTATCAACTTCGGCCACTTGAAGAGGTGGGAGAAATTCTGGGAGTTGAAACATGTGAATAGAGACAAATTGTGAAGAGAGACAAATAAGCTTTTCTCGCTATCTTTTGTTGTGTTGAAGGATTTTGTCTTGAATTAGAACAGAATAAAAACTTTACTGTCACTTTAAATGTACACTAATTGGCTTACGTTAAAATGAAATTTCACTGCATTCAGCTCTCAAAAAATACCATTTTGCATATACCCACGTATATGACACAGAGAAACATCAGTCTAGTTTGAATGTACACATATACATGGCCAAAAAAAGAAAGAATCCTCCAAATTTACAAGATGTATGGCATAAGGAACAAAGCTGTTGCAGGATGTAGTAGTTCCGCTATAAAGACAGGGACGGTTTCCTTTGGGGTAAACACAAAAGAAGGTATGGCCCACGCTCCAGATTGAGCAGAGCCAGATGAAAGACATACAGGTGAAAAGCCACAGCCTTGCTCTTAAAAACAGGTCCCAAGTGCAACCTGTAAGGATCTTTACGTACCTTCAGACGGTGCCTGAGTTCAATCTCAACAGGGCGCCCGGCACCCATGCTCTCAGTGAACCAGCTGAGGTCCAGCAGAGCTGGCCCATCTCCTATGGCTTTGGCAGGTGGCCTTCCATTCTTCTTCAGCCACTCAACCACCTCATCTCCAGAATTGCCTTCGGACACAATGTGAGTTACTTTCTCACTACAAAAGCAAAGATATCACTTTAATACCACTTTATAAAGCCTTGTTAAGGTCACACTTGGAATACTGCAACCAGTTTTGGTCACCATGATGGAAAAAGGATGTTGGGACTCTAGAAAGAATGCAGAAAAGAGCAACGAAGATAATTAAGGGACTTAACGAAGAACGGTTGCATGAACTGGATATGTCTAGTCTAACAAACAGAAGGACGAGGGGGGACATGATAGCAGTCTTCCAATATCTCAGGGGCTGCCACGAAGAAGAGGGAGTCAACCTATTTTCCAAAGCATCAGAAGGCAAGAGAAAAAACAACGGATATAAATCAATCAAAGAGAGAAACAACCTAGAAGAAGAAATTTCTTAACAGAACAATTAACCAGTGGAACAACTTGCCTCCAGAAGTTGTGAATGCTCCAACACTGGAGATTTTTAAGAAGACAATGAACAACAATTTGTTTGAAATGGTACAGGGTTTCCTGCCCTAGTAGGGGGTTGGACTAGAAGACCTCCAAGGTCCCTTCCAACTCTGTTATTCTATTCTATTCGTTCTATTCTATTCCTTATTCTACTCTACTCTATACTCTATTTTATTCCATTCTATTCCATTCCATTCCATTCTTCTATTCCTCTTGGTTCTCATTCTTCCTGGCCCTTGGCCCCATTCCCGTTGGGACACCTACCTGCGGGGATCATCTACAGAAAAACCTCTGCTGAGAGCCAAGGAGGTCAGGAACGTCTTCCGGCTACTGCCCATCCTCTTCTCAACCAGGCCAAGCACCACTTCGGGGAAACGCACCGGGACCTCTGAGTTAGCCGGCTGAGGACCAGGCTCAGCCCGAGGAGGACGCCGTTTTTTCACGGGCAGCTGGGCCATGATCTGCCCCCTGATGGGACCTACTCTGACTTCTCCAAAAAAGCTCAGCTGCAGAAAGGAGAGAACGAAAGAGAGAAGGGGAAAACAAAGAAAAGGAAAGGAAAAGGCTTGTTACAGTTCTTAAATGAAGACCTGGGAAGAGTTTTCAACTCTTTAAATTTCCTAGTTAGGCCAGCCTGAACCCTTCCAGTGTTTCTCAACCTTGACAATTTTAAGGCATGGTGACTTCAACTCCCAGAATTCCACAGCCAGCAATGCTGGCTGTGGAATTCTGGGAATTGAAGTCCACATGCCTTAAAATTGTCAAGGTTGAGAAACACTGCAAGACACTCCTGCCCAGCACTCGAGCATCAAACCTCACACCTGCCATCTTTGGCTTTGCCTTTTGAAAGCACAGAAGTTCATTTCCTGCCCTTCAGGAAAAGAGGGCAGGTAATCAACGGGCAGCAAAGAGAAACAGTGAGAAACCGCACGGAACCCAGCAAGCCACATTCCCGACGTTATTTTCTTTTTTAAAAAAAGAGAAGGAAAACGAGAGTCAACTTAGCCAGCCCCCAAACTGAGGTGCCCAGCCAGCTTCGGCTAGCCTCCTTGGCTTTCTCTTCTTGGCCAGCTTAGGAAAAGGAGGATGCTGGGGCGGGGCGGGACGGGGGGGGCAGGGCAGGGCGGGCGCAAAACTGCAAAGCACCCCCCACCCCACCCTCACCCCGCTTCGGGGATTAAAGCAATTACCGCTTTCCCAGCTGGCGCGCGCCTTTCTCTCCCGCACCGGCCGAGCAAAAATGCGGTGCAAAGCAAGGCGGGGAGGGGAGGAGGGGTCCCTCTCCAGGGGCAGCATCTGCTCCAGCTGCGGTCCGAAGGGAGCCGCCTCCCTGGCCCCGCCCACTCAGGCAAATAAGCTCCCGGGGGCGGCCTTAGAGCGCCACGCCTCCCCGCCTCGATTCCAGGCCTGCGAAGCGAAAGTGAAAGCGCCGCACTTTCTCCGGCTCCAGCAGAGCCGAGCCGAGCCGAGCTGCGGGGAGCTTTTTTTTTCTTTTTGCGAGAGGGGCCGCGGCCGGTATCTCTGGAGGCCTGCGGGGGGGGGTGTAGGCGGTGCAAAGCTCCGCGTGGGCGGCTGGAGTCATCTGACAACGGAGCCAAAGCGCGCCGGCAACTTCCTGAAAGTTGCTTGGCTCGGGCAACGCTGCAAAGTGGCCTTCCCCGGAGCCAGGATGCGAGCCAGGTGGCCCGGGAGGGCTTTGGTGGGGCGGGAGGGGCTCCCGGGGGGCTTCCTGCCCGGGTTGCTGCTGCTGCTGCTGCTGAGTGCGGGGCGCGGAGAAAGCTGCGCTGCCAAGAGAGCCAACATCGTCCTCATCCTGACCGACGACCAGGATCTGGTGCTCGGGGGAATGGTAAGGCTCGGACCTTCGTAGGGTGTTTCTCCAGCCGGGCGCCCCCGCCCAGCCGGAAACCTACCTGCTGGCTCAGGTGGGCGTTGTGCTGGGAAGGGCCAGGGGGCCCAGGTAGTGAACAGCTCCTGGGGAAGGTGGGGGCTGCAGTTTCCACCATTGCTACCGGGTGCAAATTCCTCCCGCCTAAAGGATTCCGAGAGAAGCCTGAAGAATAATCGCGAACCTTACTTCTGGAAGGGGGGAGGGCGGAGCAAGTGACTCAAGGTGGCCCCGCCCTGATTCTCTTCTTGGGCAAAGGTCTCCGACCTTGGCCGCTTTAAGACTCGGGGAGTTCAACTTTCAGAATTCCCCAGAAGTTGAAGTCCAGGAGCCTTAAAGTTGCCAAGTTTGGAGACACCCCCCCACCTGGTGTTGGGTATAAGAGGAGTGGACAGAAAATCCCATACACCTTTGGAGATTTGGGTATTGCACCCTGCAACCATAACGTTCTAGCACTGTAGTGTTTGAATGTAGGCCTACCTTAAAGGGGTGACGCTTTGCAAGGAACATTGTTCGAGTTGTAAGCAGAACAGTCCTTGAAAGTCTGTCCCGCCCCCTCCACGGCATAGAAATCATATACAGATAGTCTAACAGTGCAAATGAATAATATGAATTGGCAAGTTGCTTAGCAATGATATTTAAAAGTAATAAGTTGTTAATGTTAGTTATATTAGTGTTCCTTAATATCAAATGGCAATTAAAAGATAACTTGCTACCTAGTATGTGGAAGAAATGCTCCGAAAGATACTCATATAAATCATTCATTCATGCTAACATTAATAAATATAGGAAGGACATGAGCACAGCAATATAAAGATTAGGTGAGTGAGGCAGAGGGCTGCTTGACTTGGAAAGAGTAAATGATGAATAAATTCTGCAGATTAACATTTGATTTAACAGCGAATGCTGACTGATTGCTTCTTGAAAAGCTCCTACTGAACGCTGCCAGTAAACCCATTTATCTTGTTGATTCCTTTATTTCCCCGGAACTGTCCTTGTCTCTTAGGAAGATTAAAATCCAACTTGATTTCTGGTAACTAAAAGGACAACATTATGTTGTTTTCCTTTGAGTGCTTTGGACAGAGTCCCGTTCAAACATGGCATTTTTTAAAATTATTTATAAAGGAAAATATTTGTGGCTCAGCCTTGAGCTGTGGCGTTCCTGGTATTCTCTGGGCTTGATTGGTTTCCCCCGCAGATGTTTCATTACCCAAACTAGGATAACATCAGTACACTGACCATGCTAACTTAGTTTGGGTAATGAAACATCTGCAAGAAAAAAACCAAACTCGGAGAACACCAAGGATTTCTCATTTGTGTTACTTTTTTCCAGAATTATTTTTTAAAAATGTCATTCTTGTCTGCAGCTCTAGTTGTCTCTTATCTTTCTATATTTACCAGTTTTGACCTTGTTTAGCTTTGCAAAGATCAACCAAGCTGACTTTGCTACCATCTTTGAAGGTCAGTCCATTCTTTTAACATTGTTTTAGGACAGTGGTTCTCAACCTGTGGGTCGGGACCCCATTTGGGTTCAAACGACCATTTCACGGGGGTCGCCAAACCACGCTGTCCACCATTTTTTTCCCTTTTCCCTAGCTGTCCTACTCCCTCTTATTGGTGGCCACACCCACTTGGGGGTCACCACAACATGGGGAACTGTATTATGGGGTCACGGCATTAGAAAGTTTGAGAACCACTGTTTTAGGATCTCACCTCCCACTTTTATGCACGTGTTCTGCTGCAGAAGAGGAGAAAATTACGCCATCTCTTTTCAGCAGTAACCCTATGGATGCTTGCTCAATTTCAAGAGAAAGGAAAACAGTTCAAATGTCCCTCTAATCACTGCTGCTTATAGATTTTGGAAGGCAGTGCTTTAAGGGTTCAACCGATGAAGGAAATGTTTAGTGTGGGTCATGTGGCTTAGAAAAAAACACAAGTTGCTGTGTAGGACGTTTCAGTTCTGGTTTTCTCCAGTCATAAAGGATGTTTCATCTCCATGTGAAAGCACAGACCAATTTGGTTCCTTTTCTGATGCGTGACCCTACCAGAGTAATGGAGCTGGAAGGGACTTTGAAGGTCTTCTAGTCCAACCCCTTGCTCAAGCAGGAGACCATAGACCAGGGATAGGCACCCTTGGCTCTTTTATGACACTTTTATGTTGGACTCTCAGCCATGCTGAGGGGACAGGGAGAGATTTCCAAGCTGAGCCATGCTGGCTCAGGAATTCTGGGAGTTGAAGTCCACGAGTCATAAAAGAGCCAAGGTTGCCTATCCCTGGTCTAGACCATTTCAGATAAATGGTTGTCCAGTATCTTCTTTAAAACCTCCAGTGTGGAAAGGGCTGTTTAGTAATCAGATTCTTGGCTTCCAATTTTCAGACCCCGATGAAGAAGACCCAAATGCTGATTGGTCAGTTTGGGGCTACCTTTGCTAATGCAGTGAGTATCTCCAAAATGTGGTTTCAGAATTGCTTTGTATATAGTTCATCTGTGAACAAAATCAATCTCCTGGTCCAACTGCCATGGTGGAGCAGTGGCTAGAATGCAGTATTGCAGGCTAACTCTGCCCACTGCCACCAGTTCGATTCTCACCGGCTCAGGGTTGACTCAGCCTTCCATCTTTCCGAGATCGGTAAAATGAGGACCCAGATTGTTGGGGGCAAATATGCAGACTCTGTAAACCGCTCAGAGAGGGCTGTGAAGCACTGTGAAGCGGTATATAAGTCTAAGTGCTATTGCTATTGATTTGTCTGTTTTCAGTTTTCAGTGACCCCCCTGTGTTGTCCCAGCCGCAGCAGCATCTTGACAGGCTTGTATCCCCACAACCACTTGGTGAGCAACAATTCCTTGGAAGGGAATTGCAGCAACTCTGCCTGGCAGAAGTTCCAGGAACCCTTAACCTTCCCGGTTTACCTGCAAAAGCAAGGTTACCAGACCTTCTACGCTGGCAAATACCTCAACCAGGTAGAGCTACGTGTTTCCCTGTAAACGCTTTTCTTTTAGCGATTGTGCAGATGTGCCTGGTGTGCTTTCCCTAACACATCTCCTTTCTTACAGTATGGGCACCCGAATGCAGGTGGTGTTCAGCACATTCCCATGGGATGGACATATTGGCTAGGTCTGGTGAGTAGAACGGCACGTGGTTTCCTCCAAGTCAGGGCTGTCTAACTTTGGCAACTTTAAGACCTATGGACTTCAACTCCCAGAATTCCCCAGCCAACATGGTTGAGTTGAAGTCCACAAGTCTTAAAAGTTGCCAAGGTTGGACACCTCTGCTCTAAGTTTCCCCATGGAAGAGAATCCTTGAAGGAAGTCCGCAGGACAGATCCACTGGGGTGAACAGTTGCATCCCACAGGGGTTGGATTCCAGCTCCCATCAGCCACAACTGGCGTGACTGATTTTTGTATTAATAGGAGCTGGAATTCTGAATGGAATGAAGAACCGTGGAAAGCTAGATTCGTCTCTGTTCTCAGTGTTGCTAGCTAGAAGAACTACCCAAGTTTTAAAAAGAAGTTAGATGTGCCTTAATACAGGTAGTCCTTGACGTACGGCCACAATTGAGCCCAAAATAAAGGATGACCTTTATTTATCTTGTCCAAGTTACATAATGTTCTAACATGGGCTTTATCTCAATTTGTTTTAACTGCCATTTCATTGTTTTGAGTGAAACGTAAACTGCTGTGAAGGTTTTTTTTAAGACCAAGTAATGTCAAAATATTTTAAATAAATGACTACCCTGGTGTCTAACAGGCCATGTGCATCCTCCCACAGGTGGGCAATTCCAGGTACTACAACTACACCCTTTCAATGAACGGCCATGAGGAGAAACACGGGGACCGCTACGAAGAGGACTATCTCACGGACCTGCTCGTGAGTTACTCCGTTTCCTCCTGCGCGTCACCTCCCCTGTGGTGCCCTGCAGAGGTGGCCACTAGGTAGGCTCCCAAAAGTCAAGATGGCAGCCACTGTGCATGAAAAAAAAAAAAAAACAGGCGGAGCATTGATCACAGCTTTGTGGCTGCCATCTTGACTTTTCTTCACCCATTCCTGCAAATCGCGCTGGTGCCGCATCGTCAGCTGCCCTCTGCAAAGAACTAGGCTATTTTGGCACAAGGAGATAAAACTCTTGCTTCTGCTCTGAATATTTCTGTTTTGTGTCACCGGCCAATACCCACAAGGGAGGGAGGGAAGT